AAAATTATATATATATATACGAGATGGGGTGGTTTTTCGAACACCCAGCGTTCCCCAATTTGGGGGGATGGCTTTGATGGATGCGCGTGTCACAGAGGATCCTTCAGTTTCGGTTCGCCCTGATTTATAGTCCGCGACTCGACGGTCCCCCCTTTTTGTTTCGACCACTGAAAGACATCCATTTTACCGAGTCATAACGGAGCACTTAGCGAGCAAAAACCTGGCGCTAATTGAATTCAAGCCCTGAGAGAGAAAAAAAAATGAAGGGAGACGGAAAAAATACGGCGTCTGAAAGAGCCGCGCGCCATATGACTATAAACAACTTAATTGCCTAATTCTTCTCATTATTTACCGGTATAAAAAAATACCGGTTATTTTTAATTAAATTTTTTTACCGAAACCTATATAAATACCGACAATTATTTCAAGTTAAAACATAAACTGTTCCAATATTTACATACTTTTATAACGTTTTTAGATAAATATAAAAAAATATTTATTATAAAATTTATATATAATCAAGATTGAAATAAAATTACATTAATTATTAAGAAGTTTAGATGATTGAAAATCTCACAATTGAATTAATTTTCAATGAATTACATTTTTTTTGTTAAAAATAAAATTAAAATTAGTATTTTTCTATATAATTCAAGCAGCCTTCTGTAAAGGCCTTTTGCTTGTTATCTTCACAGTCTACATTTACCTTATGATTACTATTTACAATTATTTTCTTTTACGCTCATAATTACCTGATATAACGACTGAAGACAGGACTCCAACAGCGAAGAAGATTTGCCCTAGAAACGCCATCATAGCTAAGCTCTTCATGGGACGTTTACTCGTCCTGCAAGAGGACGAATCTGCGAACAGGATATTAGGCGATTAGAGACGATACTAAAATCCACAGTGTAAAGACCATAACGTGTGTGCGCGTCGCAACCACCTGTATTACGGATAATCGAACTTTATGAACTTGCACAGTATCTGCTTCCTTTTTCAAGTAAAAAAGCAAACAATCTAAAGGACTATTTAAGCTACATCTTTAATAATACTAATTAGTTTCGAAGAAATGTATTGTTTTGCAAATGAAGTAAATTCGAATTGTTTGGAATTAACCATTATTGATTTGGAAGTTGTGCTTTTGATGATGCGAAGCGGACAATACAAGAAACCCTTTATAAATTAAGAACTCTCCAAAACAGAAACACAATATTGCCACTGAACGTTTCGCTTTATTTATAGTTCGTTTTCAATGTTTTTTTTTTCTTCTTCTCTTGTTTTCCTCCATTCCCTCTGTGTAACTTTATTTATTTGTTTCTGCCCGAAAATGAATCGCACAATCTGAGATTTCATTTTTCATTCGCTCTCTTTCTAGTTTTACCTAGTGCACTTTGTTTGTTTCTGATTTCGTTACGGTTTTTGTGTTTATTGGAGCATTCGTATGAAATGAGTTTCAGGACGATCGATGTATGTTGACGAAATGATGTGTGTGTGTGTTAGAAAAAGTATGGGTTCGGAAAGTCCTTTTGAAGGACCTTCGATTGCATCGATCGTCTAAGGATTATTAACAAACAGTATTTCGATTATGCATTATTCAATAAACAAATATTTGTTATAAACAAATTTTGATCGGATAAAATTTTATCGATGATCCAAACATCAGCACTATCATTTTCAAATTATAACAAAATTAATATTTTTGATTGAAAGAATGAAGGACAAAAAAAAAGAGTTATGTAATTTATTGTATTAATATTATTTCCATTGATAATTTAAGATACGTTTATGTTTTCAGTTATAAGATAACAAATGTTAACTAGTATTGGAATCATTGATTTGATTGTGTATAGGATGAATATGACTAGTTGATAATAAGCTCGTGATGGTGATATGGGGAACGTGTGATATTTAGGATCTGTCATAAGCAGATTGCCTGTTATTTTGTCAACGGGATGATGAAAGAGCCAACGAGATGAAGGGCGTGTGTGTGTGCGTAGTAGGTATAAATGTGTTGGTGGAAAATTGAAAAAAAAAAAATAAAATAAACAGAGAAGGAATAAAAAAAAACATCATCATCATCGAAATCCGCAGAGCAAACAAAAATATTTCATCCTGCCGCCCCATCGATGCGCCGTTAATTAATTAAATCACAACGGGTCGCAGAAAAAAAACAACAACAAAATGTCAACTTGAATTGAAGTTTTCACATCATGGGGTTGAAAATGTGTGAAAGGTCCTGGATTCTGTCCTATCCCCCACACGTATCTAAATATAAATTAGAATCCGGGTGAATAAAATGGAAGAAAATAAAACAAGAAGGGGAGGTAAATAGAGAAGATGCGAGGGTTGTAACTGTGTACAGAGCAAAAAAAAATTGTGCACGAAACGGCAAATCTGCAAAACACGTTGTGCTGTAATAGAATGTCTATTTAGGAGGCTGCTGGTATTCTTATCCCTACATGTGTTACTTTTATGGCTTTCTCTCAAGACGTAAAGGAGCGAATAAATAAGAAAACTCACCTCGTGGAAACTCTTGTCCTGCTCTGTGTAAACTATCTGCCGCACAGACTACGAAACTGTAGCTGAGGGTGAGAGGTGCAAAGCTCCTGCAACAAAGCGAATGTCCGCATTAAAACAAATACTCTGCATTCCGTTTGTGTGTTTTGTGCATTGCTTGAATGTCATTCATAATTTGGTTTAATCCAAGCGGAAGCCATCATCCCTCGTTTTCCCACCGAAGGGCACGTATCGAATAATGCATGATGTTTCAATTGCAGGTTGGATGCACACTTGAAATATGATTCGACTGCAAACACTTCTGATCTGAAGCGCACGGGCGAGATGAATTCCAATATTTTTCTTATTTAACTAAAATAAAGGAGAACAGTTTATCTCCATCCACGTCGACACTCGAAGCTCCGTTGCATAATGGAAAGTTATATTCAGACCAAGCTTTTTCCCCACTTCCTAATTAATTCACCATCTCCAAAAACAACGCGTAAAGCTTTTAGAAGCTTACAAGAAAAACGGTACTTCAATATAGTCTATACGGATCTATATCGCAATCCCGACAACCGAAAGACCCTTTATTGAAATCCCGACGTTCGAAATTTCGACTGTATTAAAATTCCGACGCTTGAAATCTCGACTATGTCATAATCCCGACAATATCAAAATCACGACTACCATGAAAATGTTATTGTAGAAATTTATAATAATTAAAGACACTGTCGGGATTTCGATATAGTCGGGATTTAGATTGTTTGATTATGGTAGTCGAGATTTTGACATATTCGTTATTTCGATATTGTCGGGATTTTGAGCCATCCGGGATTTCGATAGACGGGATTTCGATTGTCGGGCTTTCGATTGCCACCAAGTCCATACCATATATTTCTCTTTAAATCAGCAATATTTATCTTAATTTTATTTTTATGTTCAATTATGTAAAATTTGATTATTTTTTATTTATATTAAGATATATATTTAAGTGTATTCAAATGAGACAAAATAATCTTTTAGTTAATTTTCATATTATTTCCAAATTCTAAACTTTTGACCCCAAAAATACCAAAGCTAAAGCTGAAACTGTATAAACAATTAGTTGTTAATTCCATTTTAATTAGCAATTAAGATAATTATTAATATACACATCTGTTAAACAACTCTGAACTAAAACTGTCCCAGTATACAAAATTAATTTCATTGTCTATCGTGAACTACTTTAATGAATGTTCAAATGTACAATTTAATGTAAAATATAATCATAATTGCCCTAGTAATTTATTTTAAATTAGAAATTTTATTATGTATAAGTATAGAAAAATATTACATTTCAATTTAATTTTCATCCAAAAAATATAATATTTCAAAAAAAAAACTAATTGACTAATGGGAAACAAGTTAATATTTTTTTTGGTTATGCAAACATTTTAGTTGCAGTTTTTAATTTCATGAAAAATTCGAAAAAAAAAAACAAGTTTACAAAAAAAAACAACTGTGCGTAAAATTCGGTATGTTAATCCAATTGAAAAATGTTTTGCTTTTGAATGTATAAATTTTACATCCATTTGGAAAATTTAGCGAAATTAATTTGTTTGTAGAACTCGAGTTTTAATGCCACATATCATTTACATTTATCATTCTTTATTTAAATTTTTTTTAATTCAGTGTGTTTGGTTTTCGTATACGGAAAAGTTTTGTTAGCTGCGACCAAACAAACTTCACGAAATTGATATAAATTATGTTTCAAGTTAAGCCGAGGGAAAGGGCAAACAGTTAAAGCGCTTTCTAAGAACTTTTTTCCAACCCTCCGACGATTTACGCTAATTTTTATGCAAATTGCTAAATTAAAAACGCAAGCATTTTCAAAAAAAAAAACAAACTTAAATGGATTCGAACGTTACAAATACGGTTGTTTGTTTAATTGGGCATTTGTGAAGACTCTTATAACAAAATTCACCTTCCTTTGTCTCAAGCAGTTAGAGACGATAACAACGTAGATACAAAAGCATCCATTCAATTGTGAATAAATCTCTGCTGCTAAGTCGCCCGCTTGTATTTGAAGATCTCTCATTAAACTGAAGATTTATTGCTTTCTTATTGTGTGCAAAATGCGTTCATATTCAATTTTTTTGGGAATCTTTCGTATAATTGTGTTTACACGTTCCATTCCTTGTGCCGCTTCCGCATGGTCGCATCGGGTAAAGTAAATTTATTAAGAAGAGCGCGAGGGTTGTAAATCAATATAATTAGTACAAGGGTTGCATTTCGATTATATCTCATTCCATATATCAGTGGATTATTTTACGAGTGAAAAAGTTAAGAAAAATAGCTAGAAAAAAAAATCAACCCCTCAATGAATTCTTGTGAAAAAAATTCCTGAGGTAAGAAAAGGTTAGTTTGAGGTATTTATTAAACTTGACCCTTCGCTCAAAAGGTTTTTAGGGGTTGCGATAGCATTTTATGGTATATATTTACATGTGGTCATGGGTGGTAAACATTGCACATTGCAAAGGGTCGTAAAACTCTCGGCATGATAAAATACGCAACCCAAGGTCGCTGCAAGTCTTTTTCCATAAGAAATATTACAACTTTATCTTACTCCTACTACTACTCCTCCTCTTCCCCAGGCGGCACCATCTAATCCATTTTAAATCTAGGCCAACTACTTTATGTTATGTAAGCGCACCCCGCGGGGGAGTCCCACACCAATGTTGCATATGCGGTCCAACGTAACGTCAATTATCTGAACGATATGTATTTTCCTTGCACACTTGCGTTCCTCGACATAAACTGCTCTTCTCGACGACCACATTATTTCTATCTAGTACATTCATTTTTATATTATTAACAATTTTTAGTACAAATTGTGCAGAATTTTATTAAGGATTTTAAGGATTCATTGTGTAAAATAACTTTATTAAGCAATAACTTTTTTTAGAAGCATTCTCCTTCACGATCATAGTATATTATATTCATTGTATTAAGCAATTTATGTATCGATTTTCCATGATAACTATATACATTTTCTATATACATATAAAAAGTATATAAAATTATTTCTTTAATCTTTCAATACTGTGTAGAAAAAAATCGGTGACAATCGCAAGCCCGACAACCGAAATCCCGAGTGTATCCACATCCCGACAGTGTCTTTTATTATTATAAATTTCGGAATTTTGACATAGTCGAGATTTCAAGAGTCGGGATTTTAATATAGCCGGGATTTCGATACAGTCGGGATTTCGAATGTCGGGATTTCAACAGACGGTCTTTCGGTTGTCGGGCTTGCGATATATACCAGAAAAAAATATGTTGGTAATGAGAATAATGGCAGAAAAAAATGTAATCAAAAGTTGAACTTGGAAAAGGTAGGAAGATAATAATTAAGAAGTTATAATTAAGTTCTGATGATTGAGCAATTCTATGAGGGTACAAAATTTAATGATTTGTACATTATGAACCATGTGCACATATATATATATATATATGTGTGTTGGTACGCCCTGCTAATTAACTTATCCGCAGCGCAAACCTTAATTAATTTCAACGAATCATATTAATTAAAGGCGGTCTTTGCGTATCTTTGCACGTACGACGCGCCGTTACGTAACGAGGTTTGCGTCAAGCCTTCCCTAAAATGATTATGTGCACGGCGCGCCGTTAGGAGGGCGCTAGATGTGCGCCCGTCTTCGATTAAAGGGCGCTGATTTATTAATCATCGCCTAGTACTAAATGTATGTTGCATTTCCAAACATCCGAAGTCGGTGCAATCACACGTGGTGCTACCAATCCTCAAGTTGTTATCAACCAAAGTATGATTTATTAACTGCCTATGTGGATGTATTTATTTGCACGTGTGTGTCTGCATGTGTAGTTTAGCTTCGAATCTACATAATTATTTTAATTACAGACTGGTATTACATCCTTTGAACTAACGCCCTCTCGCCCACCCATGCCCCAATGTCTCACACCCCCGCAGATAATTGTAATTGTTTTACCCGCGGTCGCATTTTCATACACAATTCAACGTTATTTTGCATCACAATAGACCCCCATTCGAAAACAACTCTATGCAATGAAAAAAAAAAACGGCACATATACACACAATTGGCGCATAATTGATCGGTTTGCGATTACATCCAGAAATATTGTATCTATATGTTACGATGAATTAGTATAACTGAATTTTTCTTTTAAAATTGATATATTTGGGATAGGTTTGGCCGATAAGGCGGATATATCCGCCATATCCTTTACAATCAGTTTCATAATAAAAAAACAGTTGAAAATACGTCCTTGATAAATTTCCATCCGCAAAAGGTTAAATATAAGATAATTATATCATTATTGATGTAATATAGTCAAATATATTGATAGTAATGTAATAGTAATTTTTATATTAATTTTAAAATTTTATTGAATTTTTTTTGTAGAGATTTAAATTAATAAATATATATAATAATAGGAAACTTTGCACTTTGCATAATAATACTTAATGGACGCAAAACGCGAACACCAATGTTACTGTTGACATTCTTATTTCTCATAGATGTGTTACATAACATGCCATGGAAATAATCAAATTTAATTATAAATTGTTTACTTTTTTTACTGTCTCCAATATTATGTAGATATGATATAGATTTGATCATGAAACAAGTGCGACAAAACGCTTCACACTTTCGTAATGATGAATCATTAAACTAATTATTTGTAAATTGTAATTTTTTTAAATGTAAAACCGTGTAAATCGAAGAGTATGCAAATATTTATGTGTAAAAGCAAAAACGTGTAAAGAAAGTACCGTGTAAAACGAGGGATATGTATATTTGCTTGATAAAAAATATGTCAAGTATCGTATCGCATTTAATTTACGTAAGTATAATTAATTGAACGAATTGCATTTACAATTGATTATGCAACGGCTTTACGCAATTTGTTTGAAGAAAATAATTTAAAATGAAAAGAATGTAATGAATATAAAAATAGGCCAGACATCGAAAGAATGTGTGCAGTTTCTTATCGATGTTATTTGGAATAAATTATTTTTTTTATTATCTTGACTCGTGCTGGAATTTACTACACATCTTTTCATTCATAA